CTACCTATCTTCTCCGATGTTTAAAACGCAAAAAATAATCAAACTAGCATAATAAATAAAAATCATTATATAATATAATGAATTTTAAGATTTGATATATATGCCAATCTTTTATAAGATTTTTTTTTAGCCTTGTTAATTTCTTAACCTGATAATATTATTCAGTGACCTGCAGCCCCGGAACGCGGCCCGAATCGGGTCTAAAAAATTGGATATATTTTTTATAGAACGCGGAGTTCTAATTTTTTCTTTGACAAATAAACAACTATTTGGAATCAGTAAATTCTGCAAATTAAAATTCATTGGGATAGTGTTGAACCGGCATATGGTTTAAGGTATGGTCGACGAAAATAAGCTATAAGAAAAAATAACGGAAATATGAATGCTCATATGAATTACGAACAAGTCCAAGGTGAATCTCAAAATATATAAGTAAGAGTTTGGATGTCGCTTATATTAAATATAAATAGGATGGAAGACGGTCTCATTGCTTCAGAAAAAGTGAAGGCATTGATAGTATTAAGTAAAAAATTCCCTTAATGAAATAATGGATTCAAAATTAACGAGACTGGATTCGGAAATTGCATTACGCAGGAACGAATAGAGAAGGTTATAGGTAGACATGTGCGCCGACAGCATTTTCGGCGGCGAATCGATTTAGACGCCGCCTCAAAAATCAGCGGTGGCGCGGCGGCGTCAAATATTTTTCTAACTTAAATTTTTTAAATTAAATTTATAAATTCATTTGGAAACACTTTTAAAATAAAATTTATACTTTATGTTTATAATTATAATTTAATGATTTCATTAAGTTATAATTATGAATAAATATTATTTTATTAAGATTTAAAGGACATAATAATGATCTTTTAGAGTTCAAAGTGAGCCCAATAGAAAATGCACGCTTGCTGGGTGTGCTCGTAGCTGGAACTCACAGGACTTTTCTAGCTAATATTGAAAGTTTAGGAAGATCTAATGCTCTTATCTTCCAAAAGTCGAAGGCATTTTTTATCTTTAAATTATAAGGCGAAAATAATGAATAACACTCTTTTTCTAAACTAGTTAAATAGCCTTGTTGTTCTAGGTTATTGTTTTGAATAGATGAATGTTTCGTAGCCAATGACTTAAGATAATCGAGTTTTGAAGCAACTTCTGTCGTTCCAGATTCGTTTAATTCGTCCGTGTAAGGACGTAGAGAGGTATCTTGTTGACATAAAAATTCAACTGGAGTAATATTTTTTTCCTTTAAATATTCATTTACTATGTTTATAGATTGAAAACGAGGATCCAAAAGTGCTCCTAACACCTAAGTAAAAAAATAAAAGAAAGAGAAATAATATATAAAAAATAATTTATGTATTTTAAAATACTACCTGAAAATCGGTTATTGGAAATCTATGATCAAATTTAGTAAGCATATTTTGTTTAAGGGATGCTATGTAAGGACTATCATATTCTTTTACAATTAAATGATTTTTAATTTCACTACGAAATAATAAGGCTAAATTAATAGTAATAAAAATTCAATAGTTTTTTGAAGGTTTTAAGAAAATTTAAAAGTTCATGCACCAAGTCCCAATCGGAGTTAAATAATTTGAGATCCGGGTTCTCCATTCTATTTATAGAATATTTATAGGATTTTTGTTATTGCCAGTCACACTTTCCAGCATTATTAAAATACTATGCCAACGTATAGGCACATTTAATTTTAAGGTTTTATGTTTTTTCTCATATGATTTTTGATTTTCACTATCATCATCATACCACAAACGATCTTCATAAAAAGGATCATTATCATCCAAATCTAAAATATCTGATGTATATGATAGATTGAAAACATTTTCTTATTTTTAAAATCCGCTGTTTTGAATCTTAAGGCAACTCTAACTTCTCTCACTTTTTTAATGAGATTTTCTATTTTATTAACCTTTTTTATTCCATCGACTGTCACTAGATTATGTAATCCATGCCCCAAACATAAATGATGGCCATATTCTCCTAGACGAACACTTTTCTTTACATTGGGTCCTGCATCCGTAACCATTTGAATTTTCTTGGACCCTAAATCAAATTCATTTTCAACTTTTTCTATTTCGGAAAGAATAGTCTCAGCGGTATGTTTTTGAGTGACATGATGTGTCGCTAATGTATAAAATACTATTAAAATTATTATCTATTTCGTGAAATGTAAAGGTGATATAATTTCGCTGTCTATATTTGTCGGTCCACATATCAAAAGTTATAGCACAAAATTTTGGACCTATATTAATTTGTTGGCATATGAATGCTTTCATTGATAAATACACATCATCTAATCCACTTCGGCTAAGTGTAGTTCTATCTGGTAATTCTTTGGCATCTGAAATAATGCCATATTTCTACATAATTAAAAGTTAATAATAAAAATTTTATGCCATAAAAAATTCTAAATGTGGGATGTTATAAAATAATTAAATATCCTAACAGTTAAAAATTAAGATTGCTCTATAAAAAATTATAATTTTAAAAATAACCTTTAGAAAATCTTGCATTCCAGTATTATTTATAGAAGATGCAACACATGAGAACATAATTCCTTACCAGAATCCATTTTTTATCTTTTATAGGGTCAGTTGTATCTTTTACAAGGGGTTTGAAAAATAACTTTAAATTTTGTTTAAATATTTCTTCTTTACATGATAAATCATGTTTGTCAAGTAAATGTTTTATTATATTTTTTGAAAAAGATTTGAATTAAAAAATTTGCAAATATTTTTAAAATAATCAAAAATTTTACTCTGAAAATGAATAATTATTTTCTTCCTCACCATCTTTATCAAGTGCTATTTGCAAGCATATATTACAAAAGATTTTATCTGTAGCAACACTGGTTCTCTTATTATTTGTGTCAGTTTTTAATATTAAGGATCCAAAATGTTTCCATGCAAAAGAAGGCTTTGCTAGGAAGGATATACTATATTTTGTTACAGGATATTGCAATGCTGCATCCATTATAATTGTTTTAGTCCTGGTATTTTTATATATGTTATAATGGCAACAAAATAAAAATCATTAATTAAAATTTCCTATTATGATAAAAAATAAATTTTATATAACGAGTTGTAAATTATTTGAAGCATCAAAAATTAAAAGAATAAAATATAGAATTACCTTTTCAAATTTAATGTCCTAATCTTATTTTATCTAGCACGTTGGTCACAAACCTGCCCAAAGTAAACGAATATGGATTGTTACAAATCAAATTTATAGCAAATAATATTTATTAATTTTAAAAAATAAAATCGCATTTTTTAATAATTCAAAAAATATTTAATATTTTTCTTCTAATTAAAATTCATAAATAATATATAAAATAAATTAATAATAAAAAATATGTATCAAGCCGCCACGCCGCCGAATTTTTAGATCGGCGGCGGCGTGTTGAGCTCCGACACTTTTTTGGTGCGCGGCGTCGGCGTGGTCAAAATCACCGGCGGCGACGCCTTTTACCGGCGGCGCACATGTCTAGTTATAGGTGATCAGTTTTTTATACGACTCATGTCCATAATAATGAAGTATATTACTTCCATGTCTCACAAATTTTTGCCAAGGAGGATTTTATGAAAACCAATTTTAAACAAGGAGGCAGAGCTATAGCATGTTTGCGTTCCATTCCAGTTTCGGCAAAAAGATGTTCCGTTTCAAGTATCCGAACGACATTTCTCTAATTTCATTGCTATTTTTTTAATCAACAAATTTTTTTCGTTAGAGTCTTTATTTAATATATAAATAAATTATTATTATCTATATATCTAATTATTAATAATTTGCACGTTTATAGTATTAGTATTAGTTTATTTCATATTAATTTGTTTATTATTATAAAGAACAATTCATTAAAAAATAATATATATAAAATTATTTAATGTACATTCACTCGTGAATTGAAAATTATATTTGATCGGCTAATTTATATTTTGCCTGAGGCTAAATGTCGACTAATTTGGCTTAATCTATAGGCGCGTGCCGGAGAAAATCTGTTAACATTAAGGCGTTTTAATTTATATTTCTAACAAATTTGATCTGCTATATTTTTAAAAATAACCCCGACATCAAAGTGATAGTTTTTGGCTAAAAACTTGGGTAGCTGATTTGTTTTAGCTCGCTAAAAATTAGCTTAAACGGCTAAAAATAAATTAATTACCTACCTATAGTCTCTATCTTTATGTTGTTAAAAAATTTCTGCCGAGGATTTTAGAAAACTTTACATAAAATTCTTAACGTTGACCCAGAGTGCCTTGCAACCAATGGAATTTTAAAAAGGGGGTTCTGGTTCCAAAGATCTTTAAGAGAGATTTTCGTCCGGTTTCTAAGTTTAAGTCAGTTTTGAGCGTTCCCATTCCTGTCAAACCTTAGAAATCGAAATTAGCTCCGGTTTTCGTTCTAGTTCCTAGAAATTTTAAAAGAGGGATCTAGTTCCTGCTCCTCTGGTTTTTAAAGAAAAGACAAAATATATTACAAAATTAAAAATTATATATTCGCTACCATATTTTTAAATTTAAATGCCAAAAATAGTCTATAGGAGTGGGGTGCATAATTTGCATATATACTTTTTATGACAAAATATTTTTTAGAACTGATAATGGTAATATTAATATGAGGTTTCACTGAGTGGGAATTACTCCTGAGAACATAAAATAAGTATATAGGATATTTTGCCTTAGTATTAAAAGTCCTTTATGATTATGTTTTAAATAATTAAAATACTTCCTAAATCGGGGTCTTATTATATAATTTTGTTTTAAAAATGTATTTTAAACACAAATATAAGGCACATATAATTGCAGCTTCTGTAGTTACTAGATTCTCCACCATAATCGAAGGTAAATATCTGTCTTCAATTTGCGCCGTTTTTAAAACATTGATTGTCAGTCGGTAGTGTTGTGTTATAATATTTCATGCCATTGGTTTTAACTTCCATTCCACTATATTTAATATTTAAATTTTTTAAATAATAAAAGCCGTTTTTATCAAGAAGAAAGGACCAAAGAAATGAAGAATGGGCTGAAAAGCAAGCTCACGAATATCAACGAGCCTTCTTACTATTGCATGAACTCATCTAAGAAAAGGAATAATCGGATTATGAGTGGGACGCATTACATTTTTGATTAAATAAGTGACTTGCATTTATTATCTTATCACCAAAAAACGATTATTACCAAAATTATAAAGTCAAATGATATCTTTTCTAAATTTGATTTAGCTCTGTGAATATGAATTAATGTAAATGACTCGAATATTTCAAGATATCGTTTAATTTAATATTTAATTATCATTAGTCAAATCAAAATTATATAGAAAATATAGGTTTTATGTTTATAAATAAATTTTACGATTTTGTAATTCATTAAAAATTTTATCATCAATTTTCTGTTTCAAATCTACAAGAGTGAAACCTCTGTTTATAAATATTGTAAGGTGACCTTCTCATTAAACTAAAGAATAGAGCTGGTCATCACGAAGAGTGGCTACATTGGGAGGTTTCACTATAATATTATATATAAATGGTGCATAAAACAATTGAATATTTATTTATTTTGATAAATTCAGTACCCGGTTCTTATAAACTGAATGAATTTTATCTGTATGCGTATATTATTAGTGTCAATATATAAAAATATTTGTTTTTTTGAAAATATTATGTAATAAATTCTGAGTAATATACAAAAGCTCGAATAAATATATTATTAAAAAAAAATGAAAATTAGAATTATAAGTAAGCTGCCCCTAATACACATGCTCAGTCTCTAAATTTACCAGCCGGTCATTCTAAGGTTTTATATAGCTCGCTCTTTAGCAATGCTTGAGTAATTTAAAATGAAACGATCGATTTTTTTATAAAGCATAATTAATATCGTTAATCAGAGTTATGCACGTGTTTATCTTATGGCCAGTAGAGGTCTGCAAATGACAAAATTTTCACTGGTTGGGATTTTGTTTTTGCCTACCCGCCCGACCCGTTTTTAAAATCCAAAAATATATCCTATGAAAAAATAACCAATAATGATGAAGATTTCGGTTTTATGATTTTTTTTATTAAATCAATAAACAAAATATAGGGAAATAAAACCTTTTTTACAAATAAACATCGACTACATGACAAGATATTCACTGGAAGCAAACCCCTTCAAAAACCTATATCCCCCCCCCCCCCCATTCCCACTTTGTATAAAAATTTAGCCTCCTTCGACTGCAATATTTTCACATTATGAATTGCATGTTTTTTTATTATAATGGTACTCCCTTCATATATTTTAAAATTATCAATACTCTACCAAACTAAAAAAAGTAAATGTGAAAGAGTTATTATTTAGAACATGAATAATTAAAAACCTCATTTACAATGAATGCAATGCATTATTATAGTATATTGTTTGGCATGAATATGAGTTTGCTGATAGAATTTCTAATCCATTTAAATTACATATAAAAAGATAGCTTAAAATTATCCAGAAATAAGTTTTATTTGAAAAATAATGACTGATTGTATGCAATATATAAATTTGGCCAATGTTTAGCAATATAATTGTATTATTATAATAAAAGTATTAAATGATTTTTTTACAACAATATATTTTGCCCTATTTCATCTAAAAATTTAATAGACAAAACCCCAATAAGTTTATACTACCTCTAGCCTACCCCTCTCCCTCATTAAAATCCCTGGAAGCAAACTATAACCCCCCCCCCCCCCCCTTCCCCCCGCTCACGTAGACGCTGAAATGAATGATAAAAATAGGTCATTTAATAAACAAGAAATATTATTTTAACAAAATTAGGATTTAGAATTGTTGTGAACTGACACTGAACTAAATATTTGAGGATTATACAAATTATTGGAGGACTACACAAATTCTTTTTTTATATCTTTATTTTTCTAAATACACTAAATAATGAATCAAAATTAATATTTTTAATAAAAAACGAAAAAATACATTATTTTATAACGCGAAAATAAATTAATTACCGGAACAAATTCATATCAAACTTGCAAACTTAATATAAACATCTCAATACGTACCAAGATATAAGGGTTATTATTTTTTGTTGCCTCACTAAATACCACTTAAGGATGCAGGTACATTATTATATGACATTATTTTTTTCTTAACACTATTCTGCCGGTAACGGAACTAATACATCACCACTATTGTACTTTTTCCTTCTTCACTTTGCTAACTGGCTACATAGTGGTACCGTCCACTATAATAAAACGGGTAGACATCATGTATGGGATCTATATACTAGTGAAAATACTTGATGCACGCTTCAACTCCTGGTGGGTGATGAAATTGCACTTCATGCAATTTCTGGCGTGGTAATGAATGAATAAATGAAATTAATTACCATTTTCTTCTTTTTCATTATATATAAAATAAAATATATCCTTGAAAAACATTGTATAAATCAATTAACCCTAAAAAACATAAAATCAACAAAATTAAGTAATGTTATAATATTACAACAAGAATTATCAATTCTCTATTAAGTGCTGGACATCTCTACTTTTAGCCGACCCGACAGTTAATTATTGTGCCCCACCCGACCTATAAAAATTTTAAGACGTTACCTGGCCCATGGGTATAGCAGATCTCATTGGCCATGCCTGTAATGAAAAAAGAAATAAATTTTTGCTAGAAGCACAATTTAATTTTTAGATGTAAGAAAAGTCTAGAAAAAAAATATCGACCAAAAAAGTTACGGAAATAAAATCTTAAAGGAAAAACTTAGCATAAAAACTTAAGTTTTAGAAAAATAAATCTTTATATATATGTCGTATTGGAATATGGAATCCAAGGAAAGTTGAAATCTCTCGATTTTAAATTATTTACCGAGGGTGATTTTTAATTTTAAAATTCTGATTTAACCGGAAATGTATTCCATGTGTCGAGTATGCCTAACCTATTAATTTTCTACTTTTCGCCATAAAATTTTCTTATTTTATTAATTTATATGAAAAATCCATATAAAGGTTTAAGGTAAAATTGTCCGAAATTCACAGTGTGAGTACCCTATATATGCTGAAATACTTTTCCGCATATTTAGTTTTTTGAAATTTAAAAATCTACCTCAGTAATGATTTAAAATTGAGAGATTCCGTATCCCCATGGATTCCATATCCCAAATAGGATCTATTTATAAAAATAAAATAATACTAAGGTCTAGAATGAATTTAATTATACATGCATATTCAATGTATCAGTAAAGAATTAAGGAGCGGCTGGTTATTTATCATTTTTGAGAATTTTGGCCTTAAAGGATAGAGATCAAAAAGTTTATTTTGTAGATAGATGATGAGGATGTTAAGGCATGATCCTAAAAACATTTATGGCAAAAATGTAAAATCTCTGTCATCTAACTATGTCTCCTCTAATCAAAAAGTATTCATGATAAACCATTTTTTATGGTTAATAACGCACTGAAAAATTAAAAAACAGATTAGGGAGAGATATTTAAATCATTTGGAGGATATAAAAAATAATATATTTTTTAAAGGGAATCTTAGTTAATTTCTACAAATGCTATGTACTTAGGGAAAATAGAAATAGTCTTCCGACCCGGTCTTAAAATATCTGGATGATTCTGATAACTTATGCAAAAATTTGGAGCTAAGCAAGATCAGAAACCTTCATGGGCCTTAATTTTTTGACCAAGCCCGGCCCAGGCCCGCAGTAAAATTTTTTTTTAGGCCCAAGCCTGGCCCGGCCCATATCTAATGTTAAAAAAAATTCCCAAGCCCATGATAAGTTCCAAAAAAATTTTCCAAACCCGGCCCAAGCCCATATCCAAAAATTTAATTTTTTTTTATTTAATGAAAATAAACAATATTTAAATATATTTAGGCAATCATTTTGTTACTGGAAATTTATTATTATTAGAAGGAAAAAAGGAAATATTTCTTTAAATTAGCAACTGTTTTAAATAATCTAAATTTAAATTTAACAATTTTAGGCCCAAGTTCAGCCCAAGCCCATTAAATTTTTTTTTTAAAATCCAGGCCCGGCGCAGGCCCCTAGAAAATAATGGACCGGCCCGGCCCACGAAGGTGTCTGCATCCGATTTTGAAATCTTGAAAGATGCAAATATAGGATTTTTCCTTTTTAAAATTTTTGACCGACTAAAGTCCTACAGGTTTCTGACTTGCGAGTGGGCCCCAACGTTGGGTTTGGGCTTTTTTAAATCATTTTTCATCTTACAATTAAAATAAACTTTTCTCAAACCCCTTTGATGAATTTTAAATAAAATCTTTATAATATTTAACGACAGTAACTTTTTTCGATTTAATGAAAATATTTTAATGGTTTGAGAATTTTTCCCATGTCTGTATATAAGTGTGTTAGTATTTTGTTATTTTGATTTTCACTGTGTCCATTTATGCAAACGGGGGAGCGAGTGAATCAATATCCATGGGCCGTTAAAATTATACTATTTTAGGTGCAACTAAATGAGCATTTAAAATGAATTGTAATTTTAAACTGGATAATGAAATACTAGGTTATTGAAATACATATTCATTTTTATGTTACATAATACTGAAATAAACTTGGCAAAAGAATGCATAAAAATACTCGTGATTTACTCGTCATTAATTTTCCAAATAAACCTATACTTTTCATTTTGACTTAGGCTCCAGTCCATTCCATTGAAACCTTACGCGAATTATACAGAAGTCCTTTCTCTAAGCAGGTTTTAGAAAAGGATGCCAATGCTATTACTTAAATAAAATTTAAATTATTGGGAGGAGGGGGCTTTAAAAATTTTCCTATAATATGGTATTATTTTCCCCTTACCAGTCTCACAAGTAAGGAAAAGTAAAACATTGACGGAGCGAGAATGCAGTCCTGCCTTTATTTCATTTATAAAGCTTTATTTAATGTTTTAGGTGATCAAAATATTTACGAGGTTTTCTTAATTTTCTATTGTAGTAATTGCGTTGAAATTAGCTAAGTAATTACTGATACTTATAATATCTTAGCTGTATTTCCCAACCAGCTGCTCTGATTGCATGTAAGCTTTTTTCTTACTAATTCGCAGTGTGGATTTAGTTTTCGATAAATTAAATTCGAAGGTTTCTATTTTTTCTCGTGATTTTATTAAAAAGTTAATATAATAATAATCCACTAATATCATTCATATAAATGGGTGGTTTTCTTTCAATACCTAATTCCAGCCCATACTTCTGTTACCCACGTTGTCCTCTGTTAGGCTTAACTTATTTAAGTCTTCAACAATTTCACCGTTCAAGTTTTTATTTGGGCGTCCTCTTCTACCTTTACCTCCAGTTTTCGAATATTTTTAGATAACGTTCTTCTCCATACACCGGATCAAATTTGGACACAATTTAAGTAGTTCTCTTTCTACTTCTTTTATCCCAAATTTCTCCGCAACTGTGCACTTTTCCTGTAAACAAAATAACTTCTCTATATATTATATATATTATATATAACTATATATATTTTTATTCTATTGAATACATTTTCATTTTAAAAAATATGTGGCCAAAAAAGTAGAACTTATGTGATCCACCTTAATAGGAGATTTTTTTGTAAAGCAAAGGCTTCGCCATGATGTATAGGTTTAAAGTAAAAAAAAATATAAATTGTATTTATCGTTCACCTCGCAAACATGAATCTAAACTTCTTTAAAGCCTAACTTTCCATAGATAATAAATTTTTTTAATTATACCTTATAGATTTATATATAAATAAGATGTTTAAAATAATAAATCTTTTAAGTTTAGTTTTTAGCATAATAATAAGGTAAGTAAAAAGTTATTAAATTAAGATTCATTAGTCTTATTTAACTAATCTCTTTATACATTAGAATGTATATTCAGAAAATTTAAATATTTATTCATCTGCTTTTGAGCCCTCCTTAAGTTGCCGCCTAAGATGCAAACAAATTGAAAACATTTTAATTTTAAATAAAAAACGAGATTATGTATTTATTACAAACAAACAACCCATGTATGCTATTTCTTCAAGCAAAAATGTTTAAATTAAAACATTGTTTAAAAATATCCATAAGAAAGCTATGAAAAAATAAAAGTGAAATAAAAAGTTTTGTTAAAAGATGAAAAATTTGAAATAGGAGAAGTTATAATAATAAGGAAATCGATTAAGTTAGCCATATGTTGGCTTGGTTGAGCCGTTGTAATTTTTTGAGAAAATATTTTATTTTTGCAAATTTATATAAAATAGATATAAATTATTTTTTAATTATTTGTATTTTTTAAAATCGGAAAATGCATGTAATAATTTTACATGATTATTTAATCACTCAATCTTCATGATAAATGTTATCACGATTCTCAGGGACAAATACATTTTGCAACTCCTCAAATTCTTAAAACTTAGTATGTTTTTTCAAATTCATTTAGCTTCCCGTTTATCACACGTGGTTAACTCATATTTTAATTTTTACCATTATCACTATGACATTAAATTCGGATCTCTTATATTTTATAAGTCGTAATCTCAAATATCTTAAAACCTTCTTTTTTAGCGGACTAATCATATATGTATCTTGGAATTTATCTTTTTTTAGCGAAAATATAATGATCGCAAAACAGTTTTACCATCCACCGGAAAGGGCTATTCCACATCCAAGAATATTCCATCAATTAATATTTCCAAACACGACTGAATTTTTCATTATTACATATAGTCAACCAAATATATCTATAAATATGTCTAGTAATGATTTAAATATAGAAGTATATAATATGTCCTCAAATAATAATATGTTAATGCTAAATATAACTGCCGTTAACCAAACAATTGATAATAATACTTTAGGTACTATATCATCGAATAATATAACAGTTCTAAATAGTTCAAAAAATATAGAGGATGAATATAAATTGTATTTCATCTCTAAAACCAAAACCTTTTCTAAAATCTGGAATAACTTGATGGAATCAGCTTGGAGCTTACAAAAACCTACTAATAATAGCATAGAAAGGACATATTTGCCGTTAGATTTAGTTTTTTTAATCGATGCCTCAACCAGCTTGGGCTTGGAAAATTTTGAAAAAACGTTGAAATTTGTAAATAATATTACGGTAACATTACCCGTTTCATCAAATTTAACCCGTATAGCGTTGATAACTTTTTCATCAGAATCAAAGATATTTCAATATTTTGACCAAATTTCTAGACCCAAAGCGAATTTTGATAAATGTCAACTCGTACAATATCTAAACAGAATTTCTTATACCAAAGGAAGCTCATTTACTTATGGGGCTTTTAAAGAAGCTAACGTAATATATAAATCAATGATTCACTTTTATTTAAATTATTGTTTTTGTTCATAAAGTTTGAATGTTTTTAATTATACCTACAAACATACGAATCGAATATTTTTATACAATTCTTATTCAATTCATATTTTCGAATCGAATAATAATTCCTTATTTATATTCATACGAATAATAAAAATAATCTATTTGTTGTCAAATCAAAAATGAAAAATTATTATGAAAAAAAGTTAAAATTGTTTTGAACGGATCTTTATATATATTTTTTTTAAATTTGTGATTTCATCTTGAAAGATTTCTTGTGCTTTACTTACAAAAGATTTTTCAATAAAATGTTTGGAATTTTAGGTAAAATTTCAACAAAAATCCTTCTTCTTTCGAAAAATCTAAAAAGATTTTTTTTTCAGACTCTGGAAAAATAAAATTATTAAAATTTAAAAAGTGACCCATCATGTAGAAATTGATTAAAAATAAAATGTTCCATATGGAACTTCTTAATTACTTATAAATAATTTTAAATATTTATGAATACTTTCGAATATTAGCGAATAATGTCGAATATATATTCATGATATGAAGAAATCAAATTATACGAATAATTCGATCGAATAATATATTTTCTTAATTTTGTTATTCGCATTCGTAAAATATGAATCGACAAATAAAATCGAATTGAATAACCAATAATTTGTTTTAGGTATATTTTTAATTAACTTTATTTTGATTTTTATAAAATATTTTATCAAAGTAAATATAACGTTTTAGACGAATTCTTGAATAATGAATGAGAATGACTTTTAACTCAATTTATTATAAATTTTGGGACATAAAAGTAACGAATAATATACTTAGATTTATTAGAATTATATTATAAAAAATTATTAACTAAAATAAAAATATAATTTTTTTTCAATATTATTTTTATTTATTTTTAAAAAGATTAAATATTAAAAAACTAACTATATTTTAAACAAAACATTTTATATAGTTATAACTTTTTGAAGAAAATTCTTAGAAATGCTAGATCTACTTCCAAAAAGATAATCTTCCTGATTACAGACGGTTTTTCTAACCTAAAAGATCCGAGACCCCTTGCTAATTACTTAAAAAATATTGGAATCGAAATATTTAGTTTTGGAATATGCAATGGTAATCATTTAGAATTGCGTCAAATTTCCAGTAAACCCTGGACCTCTCATTATTATTCATTTCACACCTTCGATGATTTAGTTGAGATGTCTAATCAATTACACGCTTATTGTAAGTATAAATATCTTATCTCAATCTCAATCTCAATTTTTTTTTTAATTTAAAAAATATAAGATACGTCAAAAATCTTTACCACTGTCGGACATCATTACCATTTAGTCAACGATACTATTAATCGTATGTGTAGTTGTCAATACTCGACAAGAACCTCCATAAAATGTGGATGCAAAGACCAGCTTAAAATGTGTTACTGTAACTCCTTCACCGGTGAGTTCGAATGCCTATGTCCAAAGGGAATGTATAGTGAAGATAATCGTACAATGAATAAAAGTTTGGCAGAAGATGCCATGCACGCTAATTGCAAATGTAATATCTTTAACTATTTAATTTAATCCTAGTTATCCATTGTACAATACTGTTGCCAATTTGAAAAATTTAGGTCTGTCTAGGGAATAAGGCATATTCGCCGTTTTCCGAATAATGATTATCTGTAAGCATATTTAATTTAGACTCTAGTTAATGGTGAATATTCACTTTATTTATTTAATACAATATAAAAAAAAGGCAATATTGCTCATGATTTCGGATTTTTTTAAAAAATGTTTAGATTGTCCCGAAGGAAGTTACAAAAATATTCATGGAAATCAGAGACATTTTTGTAAATTATGCCCTGGTGGGAGAAATTCAACCATTGGATCTATTTCAATAGATGACTGTAAATGTCCAGCGTATTATAAATCAATAAAGGGTGAATGCACAGGTAAATATGTTCAATAAAAATTTACCATAGTAAGGGGAGTAGTATCATTGATTTTTGTATCTAAGATACAAGATACTTTTTTTTTATCTTGTATTCTTTTAAATCAAAAAGATCTTATTTCCACGATACAAATTATTTTATAATATCGGTAACTTAATCAACTTTGCAAAAAAGATACAGATACTTAAAAAAAATTATATTTTTTAATTTAAATAGTTTAATGATACTTTTTATTTATTTAAAAAAATGATAAAACACTAAAATATTAAAACAAGTATATAAAAATATGTAAAAATATATAAAATTACTAAATAAAAATAAATATATATATAAGTGTCGAAGGCTCTAAAAAAATAGTATTAAAATTTAAAATGATATTATTTTAAATTTAAATAAAAAATTTAATCCCAGTTAGACATTTTAAAATAGAGTAGTGATATTGACGTAGGTCGTCATATAGCTATTTGCTAAACCACTACTCTATTTTATTAGAATCGCCATACCCCAAAAACTATAAACCAAGTTATCGAAGATATAATAATAGAATTGGAAAATGAAAACAACGATGTAAGGTGAATACAATTACAAATATAAATTAAAAATGGATTTTTTGAAATCACCCAACATGAACACAATATAAATAATAAAATTACTGTAGAGTGTAAAGAATGCCACAAATTTACAAATGTCATTTAATTTCACCCAGCATCTAAAAGTGTATTATATAATTTTATTAAAAATCACATTTATAATGATATTCATTTCATATTCAAAATCATATATCGTTTATTTGCTAAATTAGAAGTTTTTAAAATAAATTTTTGTTATAATGGCTGCTAATAAAATGAAAATGAAGTATAAAAAATCATCAATTGTAATGTTGATTAATTAATTTTTTATTCTGATATTCTTTTCATTATTATAATATACAGCTTTTTTAAAAATATATCTTTATATCGCATTATCTTAAATAACAAATTTATCTATTTTCTACGACAATTTATTTCCATATTTTTTAAAAATTTATATTATAGTATATTTATTTAAAAAATAAAGCTTGATAAATTTCGATTATGACTATGTAAAGTTTTAAAAAAAGTATCTTGCATCTTAGATACTTAAAAAATAAGATAAAAGTCTTATTGAAATTTTTGCTAAGTATTTCATATTTTAAATACAAAATTTAACATCTGTATCTGTATACAATTTTCTCAAAATTTGCTCAACCATGGCCATAGTTATAGTTAATATATTTATAGATTTAGATAATGCCAAAATTATATATTATGTGTCAACTTTGATTCATATAATATATATTTTATTTAAAAACCTCGACAGTATTAAAATGTCCCAAATTAATTCTTCCATCTGACACCTATTTTGCGCCAGAGAATTGCAGCAATATAGTCAACGAAGTCTGTGGTATGCTCTGCAAACCAGGATACAAATTGGTCGACGGGGATAATTTTAGACTATGTCAACATAACCTAACTTGGACCGGGAAAAACCCTACTTGTCAAAGTAAGCCTATTGTACCTACTAAATAATCTAGCTATTTAAAAAGTATACTAAAATTGTTAAACTAAAATACCTCAATTTTAATTTATTTCCATATTTTCCTGCAAATATTTTAAAAAAACTTTAATTCTAATAAGGTTGCATCCAAAACCTATTTCAAAAATTTCAAAAGTCTTGACACTATATTTTATTTTTCTATTAAAAAGGCTTATTTCTTGTTTTTCGATAAAGTTTTGAAAAAATCGAATTAAATTTTTTGATATAGATCTTATAAATTAATTTAAATTTTACTTTAATTCATATATATAATCAATTAAAAAATATTAATTTTTACTAAATTTAAAGAAATATACAATAATACAAATTTTATGGATGAATTAGTTAAATCTTTAGATATAAAAATAATTCTTTAAGTATTTTTAACGAATTACCACAATTAAATATCCCCTCAACCCTGCGGGTCAGCCCAAGCCAAATTTTTTGCAATGACATGGGCCTGAAGGGACCTCAAATTATGGGGATAGGCCTCATAAGAATTTTTATTTATTTTTGACGGGGAAAGGGGGATTTTGCGTTACACCTCTGATAACCGCCATTCCATTATCGGCACCAAATGAATGTGCCCTTAGCATAGGAAAAACCTATTTTATGTGCTAAACGTTCCTGTTTATAGGATTAAAATCTTGAAATGCAATTGTTATTGAAAATGAATAAAAAATGTTTTTAAATGTTATAATAATTATAAATTATATAGCAATTTAAATTTTTATACATTTGATTGATAACTATATTGTATTTTTAAAATAAAAAAATAAAAAATAGATATTAATCTGTTATATTATTAAATTTTGAAAGTAATGAACGATGTACCTTTTTGAAAAGGTATAATGCTTTTCTCGTAATGTTGTTAAACGGCCATATTTGGGTCAATTTTTAAAACGGCTTGGTTAAAATTTTGGCCAAAATAATATTAAAGCCTGAGATTTGATAAATAGAATTCCAAACCTTTCTACTACCTATGAGCAAAATATCCAGGCTAAGGGGAGACCGGGGTAAAGCGATTGGGGTAACAATGTTAACGAGAATAACTTTTTAACCCTTGAGCACAAATATTTTAAATTTGGTGTGAAGATGTATTTTATATCTAATTTCTTACCTATGTTCATCTTTAAAAAACTTACCTGCTTTTATATATTTTGTCAAAAAACTGTTTTTTACCCAAAAAATATAAAAATCATTCTCTAGTATATTTTGCTTTTAGTAAAATATACATATCCTCAGGATTTAAAATTTGGCTCACATGTTCCTTAATGTTTAGCTATAAAATAAATTTTATCTGACATTTATAGCTATACTAGAAGTCACGCAATAACGATATTTATAATATATGTCACCTTGGGGTAAAGCTGTTATGGGTAAAACGGTTAAAATATATAATTACATTAAATTTTTCATTCATTCATTTATTATAATTTTTATTGTATCAATCAAATAATGAGAAATTATAAAAGAAAAACCATATTCAGAGATTTAAGTATAATAGATGAAGCCATAAAATATAAAATAACAGTAACACTTCATTGAATTTGTCTGCTAAAAGATATAAAATACCTTATGCAACATTGAGAAGAAGATATAAAATTGGTATTATAAGTTCAGATCATAAACAAATATTTACAAATGAAGAAGAATCTAGATTGTGTGATTACATATTAGAAGCAAGTAGGTCATTTATGGGATTAACGCCTAAACAAGTAATTAAATTATATTGTTTGTATTTGAATTGAGTATTAATTAATAAATATATTATATATTTCAATTGAGAATTACTAATAAAATTACCAAATCAATATTGAAATTTGAAATTATTTATTCAGAGAAGAAAAAAGATATCAAAAAAGAATGGTTTATGTGTTATTTGCAATAAAAATTATAAAAATAGTCGCGAGGGCGATGAATGGTTAAAATGTACGATGTGCCTTGAATGGGCGCAGTGCTAATTATCATAATTACTTTACATGTCCTTATTGTATTGATTAGTTAAAATCATAAATATATCTTAAATTTGTAATATTTGTTAAATAAAACGATAAATATATGTCAAATATTATTTTAACCACTTTACCCCAGTACTTATCCACTTTACCCTGTACCCAGGGTAAAATGGCGAAAATGAGTAGTTTGACATAACTAATCATAGCTACTAAAATATTATAGGGGGGCTACACTTTTTTTATCTTGTAGATGAGGGATGGGGCTATACATTGATCTATTATTTGTTGTGTTTGACTCTTGTTTAAAATTTTTATGGTAAATATACAAAATGCGTTTTACCCCGGTCTCCTTTACATAGTATGTTTTGGCTAAAATTTAATCGGGCCTTTTTTAAAAATCGATCCATATCGGGCTATCTTCTTCTTGAAAAGTAACGGTCAAGCAACGTGACCTTTTTCTGGCAGTAGCGTAAAAGTAACGACGTTTACAACTCTCCTGATTTTTTTTAAATATAAAGTCTTGCGTTAAATAAAAATGGTTTGTTGTGCTGAAGCGCCCTATCTTTAAAAGTCAGCCATAATTTCGCAAACCTCTAAATTTATCCTATATAATTTTCGATTATAGAAGGCCAAAAACTATTATTCTGATTTAATTAATTTAGATTTCACTATATCTATGGTTTATTCTATTATAATATAGTTTTTATAAAACCTTATATCAATTAAGTGAAGGCGTTAAATGAATATTACATATTCTTCATTTATATATAAATAAATTATCGTTCAATCTCCAATTATCGCTCGATTCTTTGTTATAATATATTAAGCTCTTTTTTTAAAAAATATTTAGTTTAAATTATGAATCGAATAATTTAGTAATTGTGTTTCTTTTATTTTAGAGACATGCAACGTTTGTTATTCATATTTATGCCTATAAAAATAAACGTCTCTAGATGTAGAAGATTTTTATTATTTCCTCTCTTTCTCGTATAATCTTATAATTTTATTTGTTTAATTTTTTATACGAAATTTTAAACAAAAAGCCGCTAGCATAATCAAAAGTATTACTGCACATGCCAGATAAAAACGATAGCTTTGATTAAAAATAAATAAATAATTTTGAATATTTGCAACGAATAATTATATCTAAGAAAATTTATGATTATCGAAAATATACTAATAATACGAATTATTCGCAAGAATAATTTAAATTTATTATTCATTGAGTTTTTTTTTATTCGAATATTTCAAATTAAATAATTTAGTATTCATATTCCAAATTTCAAATTTTAAATAATGTACTCACAATAAATATTTTGTATATAAAAAAAATTATAAAGACCATTTTAAAATTTTCCAATCTCTACAATTATCCTATAATATATTCAAATAAAATAGTTATTTTTGAATCACTATGGTGTTCCTAGGTAAAAACTTGTACCGAGGCGCGAAAGTTAAAAGTTCAATCCATAATTTCTGAGACTTTATTAGGTCAATTTTTTTTTGGTAGAAAGGAACTGAAATCAAAGTGAAGTGCACTGGGACTGGGGGAGGGGCAAAAAGTTATTCTGCAAGTATAAATCATATGATGCCTTATAAAAACTCTACATATATATATATATTCTAGTCACATATTCATAATTTTATATGTTATATTTTTGGTAAAAAAATCTCCTTAGGATGCGTCTTAGTTCATCTTAATTTTTGTTCTTAATGACTATTTATAATTTTTAAAAGAGGAAAAAAACGAGCTGGGATACTTACTTTAGGAAAAAACGATATTCCTTGCTATAACTCCGGGATTAATGTATTCCCAACTCCCATATTTTTAATGTGCCTAGCCGCTATATTGAGTTAGCCGTTTTTAAAATCGGCTCATATGGAGCCGTTTAACAAATCTACCCATAACTTTAAAAAAAATATAATTAAAGTTTTTTATTTCATACGCAAAATTCTTTAATGTATAATAATTTATTTTATTGTATTTGTTAAAAAGTTCAAATGTGCCCAAAACTGTCCAAAATTCCACATTCCTCTATTAGCTGTAAAGATATAAATGACAAGGTATTGCAGTCTAACCAAGCTGAATACGAAATGGGGACATCTTGTGATGTTAGATGCTTAGATAACAAAACACTCGTTGGCCAAAGTAGAAGGACTTGCCTACCTTTTGGTACATGGGATGGCATAAGAAACTTTTGCAGAGGTATATATTTATTAATGTATAAATAAATACATCCTAATTTACCTATAACAAAATATAAGAACAAAGATGTCCGCCGCTGTCCCCTATAGATCATGGCTATATATTACCCTCAAATTGTCTTTATGAATTTTCTAACACGGGTAAAAATTGTGAATATAATTGTTTCGAAAACTACAGTTTTCATGGAAGCCAATTTAATACATGCTTACAAATAGGATCATGGAATATTTCAGCACCGACTTGCATACCTGCTAATGTTACTAGTTATTAAACAGATTCAAAATAAAATCACATTACTTTAATATAATCAAGCAAGTGCAATATTGGGAACCTTTATTCGTAAAAATTACTATGCGATTAGTATCATATACTGATTCATTTTAAACTATAAACAAACTTAAAATGCAATTTGATTTGTAATTGTGTAACACAAAAAGAAAAACTTTGAGCAATAAATTTTTTATGAATGATTGTATATTTCATCTAAAGTGTCAAATTAAAATTTTAATTAACTAAATTTTTTTAATGATGACAATATAATAATATTTCATTCATTATAGTCTATTTTTCAAGCATCAAGATTCTGAGTAATCTATAAATAAAATGTAAATTTTTTGAAAGGGTTTATAAAAAAAATCAATGCTAATTAATAGATTAAATGTTATATAATTTTAAAATCATTGTATGTGCTAATTACTTTTTTATCACATAAACCATCCAAGTTTCGTCCCTGACTTTGTTAGAGTTAACTTTATCTGAATATATATTATTATCATAAATGGGTAAATTTTATTTATAAATGTATAATCAATAATAAATAATATTATAAGAGATATTTTGTGAATTACTAATAATAATTAAGGGTCCCAAAATAGGGAAAAAATAAATAAGTTAACAAAATTTGCTGGAAACAACATATTATAATACTATAGAACTCTGCATAATAATGATATCTAGCCTTATGTTATATTATATCAAACAATATTATTCATTTTATTAATAATTTATTTTAGCTTTAAAGGTAAAAAAATTTGAAGAACTCGCCCTCGGAACCGAGACAAATCTAAGGAGAGATCTCGGAACTTCTCTCTTAAAATTTCTAAGAATCGGAACCACTTTTTAAAATATATTCAGAAACCGAAAGAACCCTTTTTAGTTCAGATTCTAAACTCTGCTTGAAACCGTTAGGAATTTATTAATTTACCTTTAGACGAGACTGTGGAAGATGAAACATTGAAGTGAGCTATAAAAGCGTTTTCTAACACAAAAAATAAAATAAATATGAGTTAAGAGTTGCAGATAATTAAAAATAGAGTCTAGTAATTATTCAAAATAATTGACCTACCTATTCTAAAGTTTATATTAAAAAAATTAATTAATTTGAATCTTTAAATTATACCCCTGAACCGAATCGGATCGGTTAGGCTCACACATTCACTTCTTCATATTCGGTCTAGTAAAACTTTGATTTTAAAGTTTTATCATTCGGGCAGGACCAATTTTAAATTATTTTGCTTTGCTAATTCTTTTTTTTTTCTAGATAAAGGCCCAAGATTTTTTGTGTGGCACATATAATTTTTGCGCTCTCTTTGAAAAATAAATAAACTGCTTATCATAATTTTTCTATTTCATAGTTATGGACGGATCAAACTGGACCTTTAAAAAGTAGGATCTGCCTGGCAACTTTTATCGGGCTGGGCCTGAAAAATGGTCCAATGCAGAATTCTACTTTAAATGATTATCAATTTATTTTTCAACGAAGAACGGATAAGACGGAAAGTGGAAGCGTGGTTTTAAAAAACTAAAAGAGTAATAAAGTTGTAAAGTAAAGTATTGTATATACCTTAATATTTTAATTTAAAAAGTCTAAAGTACATGATTTAATGAATAAAAAATTTCTAATAATTATTAGCTAATAAAAAATTTGTAACAAATCGAACAATAAATATAGTTTACTGACTTAAAATTTTCTACAAATTAATAAATATTAATTAATTCATAAATCATCTGAATTTTAAGGATGCTTAAATTAATAAATGCCCTTGAACACAGGGTCTGACTGGCGAAGCTGCGGTCTCGTGGCTAAATGTTTTAGAAGCGGCTTGCAGGCCTTCGGGACGCTTTCACCCGGTCTTCGGCCTGGACCCCTTTAATGTTTATATTAGACATGTATTTATTATTTCTTATATTTTTGGACAAAAGTGTCTAAAGCGATAGGTTAAACACAATATTACAGATATCACATTTTTATTAAAAAATATTCATATGAAATTATAATCCCATATTTTATCTTAAGAATTGCACAAATAAAATCATACTAATTGAACAAATAAAACATATATATCGCTATTGCGCATTTAATAATATAAAATAATAATTATTGCACATATAAAATGAATATTTATTGCACTAAATACATCATATTGCAACGAGTATGACATATTGTTGGGTCTGTGCGCCAACAATCGGCGGCAACGCGAGTTTCAAATATCCAATCGGCACATCTTTATAAATTTTTTTCTACATATATTTTTTTAAATTGCTAATTAATTTTTTTAAGAAAGATTAAATTAAAATATACACTACACTACAGTTATTCCGCTATATTTTTAGATCTTTATTGAATAGAAAACTCATTATAAATTCAAAATCGATTTTGTAATTTTATAATTATCATTGAATTTAACGTCAACCCAGCGCTAGAGAAAACACTTTCACTAAGTGTGCTAGTTGCCGAAACAGAAATAATTTTTCTTAGCTAGCGTGGAAAGATTAGGAAGTTCGATCCTCTTTCCTCTCCATAAATTTAAAACACCCATACCTTGTGAATGGCTTTTCCCGAGGAGAATGTTGTGGTATTCTTGTTCTAAGTCACTTAAAGTGGAATCATAATTTGTACTTGTATAAATTTCAATTTTTGAAATTTTGGGTCTAGAAAAGAAGCCAACACCTAGATTATTTTTGAAATAAAAAATAAATTAAATAAATGACCATACTTATATATACTATTACAATTGCAAATCGGAAATCGTAACTTAGGTTTTTTTTAATAGAGAAATGATTTTTGAGCTATTATTACCATTTACTATTAAATTTTTTTCAATTTCATTTCTAAAAAGTGATGCCAAGTTTAAGGCAGGCCTTTTCATTCAGTTAGGGGAGTAACTATTTTTTAAAATTTTGAAAAAAAGGCTAATAGTTCCTTTACTAGATCTGATTAATAGTTTGAGATAGTTTCTCGATTCTTTCCAAAACCTTATTAATAAATTTTTTTTTCCAGATATGCTTTCAAGCATAATTAATATACTCTGCTATCTAGTTGGGACATTTAATTTTAACTTTTCATATGAGTGGCATTTTTGTATCATCATTGCGCCAATTTGAAAACAAGAGGTATGGACCAGTGCTAACAATATCTAGCATATCTGATGTTTGATCGATTGTAGTTAGGCATTTTCTTTGATCTGCCTCGAACTCAAATTCAATCTCTGCAGTTCGATATCTTGGAACAGTAGTAATTTCTCTTATTTTTTTAATAAGATTTTCAACAAAAGATATTTAATATCATCCACTGAAACCAGATTAAGTAAACCATGACCCAAGCATAAAGAATTTAAATAATGAATTAAACGAATATTGTATAATATTTAAGCTAATAAATCTCGCACAAAATCCCAGCTTTGGCGCAAATAAACATATATTCTTCTATTTGCATCAACAATTCTTTTTCAACGGGCATCAATAAAAATGATTCCAATTAGTCGTCCATATTTGCCTTAAGCCTACTAGATGTTCTTTCACAATTTACTAATATGTTGGTAAAATGAAGATTATATGCAGGTGTGCAGAGTTAAAAAAGTTATAAATAGCATTACTTAATAAATCTCTCATTTTAAAAATATACTGAAGAGATTCTGCAGTAAATATTAGTGATCTGCATCGGGCCTAATTTTTGAAACCCGGCTCGGTCCGAAATTTTTTTACAAAAGTTTTGCCGCCCCGGCCCTTACCCGAAATTTTTTTAAAAAAAATTTACCGGCCCGAATTTATTCAAATATAGAAATTAATTTTTATAATTACTCAAAATAAAAGTCATATGTTATATAGAATCTAGTTTCTATGAATAAAATCAAATATTTTTATTTTACATAAAAAATTCAATATAAAATTGATAAATTTGATATATTTAAAAAAATTTCCAAAGCCCGACCCGGCCCGAATTTTTTAAAAAATATTAGGCCCGACCCGGCCCGGCCTGCTTTTGCAGATCTCTAGTAAATATTATATTTGTTTATGTAACCTTCATATTTCGTAACTTTTATAACATTTTTACGATTTTTTAAAACAAAATGATTTTTTTATATATAAAAATATATTTTTTGAAATTGAATGTTTGATTATATTGGTTAACTTTATTATGAGATTTAGTTGTATATTGTTTTTTTTTTCTTAAACAATGACAGCCATTGAAAAAGTAATTATTTCATCATAGGAGAACGATGAAAGTATTTTGGTAAAAACGAATTTTGAACTATAGATTGTGATTAACAGATTATTAAAAGTTTCATTTAAACATTGTGACTTTTTTATAGCATTATATTAATTTGCAAGATGAAACCGATAATGATTTTTTTTATTTACACAATTTGTAGTCGAAAGAAAAATTGAAAGAATCTTATATCTCGATCCACCATTTTAAATCAATAAAATATCCAATAATATTAATATGTATTTATTACAATACATATTTACCAATTCCTTATTGCCCTTATTTTAATTAGCAAATTTGAAAGACTAAACAGAAAATAAAATGATTTTATTTGAAAAATAAGTTTTAGTCGAATAAATACTATAAATTGATAATTTCGATTTTTTATTAAATTAGACAATAAAATATTAATAAATTAGTTTTCTTTTCTTTATTATTACTGCTTTTTATTTTAGACATTACAAGTGAATCAATAAAATTTTTTATTCTCATTTTTAATTATGTAATGAAGAATTTTTTGTATTTGTAACATGTTCTAAATAAAGATACCATAACCGTTAGCTTTTTTTTGAAGTGACGATGGTGTTCTATTTCATAAGGGTAACCGTTAACTTTTATTAATTAACATGCCCAACTCTGCTTGTGTGCATATCATAGCATCAAAGAATCTCATAGATACATATTAAGCATTGATTATTTGGTTGGAATTACTATTATCTTATAATATTTCAATATTTATTAGACTCCACATTGGCATGGACCAAAGCCGAGTTATATGAATGGATAGGACTACGCTTTAAGGCACCAACTAGTTTTAGAATTAAGATGCCAATGTCTATTTTCATATCCATCATGCTCTTACCATTTGAGTAGTCCAAGTTAGTCGTTGGTCAGTCACTTCGAGATCGAGGACTTTTCGGTTCACGTTCGTTGCCTTAGCACATGTCCATAAGT